AATTTGAAATTTAATCTAATTGATACCATCACTTGGTGATAATGTCTTCATGAATCTATAAAAATTTCATTAATTTTTAAATACAAGAAATATGAGAAGAATCCCTCCTTAACACACTTAATTTACAAAAATCCACAAAGGTCATAACTTTATAATTACGGAATAGAATGCAATAGTACAATGCCTTTGAAGCCTAGGAAAAAAATAATTTGTTCGGACGATTAGATATACATATGTTTTGACAAATAAAATAATATTTCTGACAAGTTTGTTTCTCGTTCGAACTAACAGAATATTTTTATAGATAAAAAATTTCTTCTTTTGGACGAATTAAATACATTCGCGAGTTAGAGGAAAGTATATTAAATCATTTTAGTCTGGAATTGTTCTGACGGGCTGATATTTTCTAGGATGGACAATTTAGCGAACTACATATTTGTTCGAACAGGCCCCAAGACCATAAACTGAGAACAGACTTAAGTCAAAATTTCAAATCAGTATAACTTTTGAAATAATTTTGATAAGGAAACGGAATTTTCATCATATGTTAATATTTGAAAATTATACAAACCTGCAAATTTTTAAGCACACATGTTAAATAAAACTCAAGTTACTCAAAATCAAGATTTTGACTTAAGTCTGTTCTCAGTTTATGCATGGTCTCGAGGCCAGATTTCATGCTTCTTTGGACAAAATTTATCAAAGACAGCATCCAGAAAATCAAAGATGGTACATGGTATAACACAAGTGCACGCTGGGGACAAAATGGTTATGGATATTTGATAAGTTTCTTGTTGACTCTATTTCTTTGCGGTTTCTGGGGTTTCATGAAAGTTTTACTTGCAGTTCAGTTAAAATTGCTTGCACCCCAACTTTTGTTTGCCTTAATTATACAATGGATAAATAATAATTGCTTGTTTTTTTTTCGGTTTGTGTGAAAATGTAACAAAGTATATAAAACATCAGGTAATTCTTCTTTTCGTGAAATCACAAATTTTCATGGGGGTTTAATTATCGTTGTTTTCAAGGTATGAAGACTCTAACGAAATGTTAAATTTTCCATATACATGTATAACTATTCAACAATTTTTCATCAATGAAATTAAGTCCCCACGAACCAATGTTTTTCCTCAAACCACGAAAATTTGACCCCACGAAAATACATTATTTTACAGTATTTATATTGTGCAATACTTATGCTATAGTCCAAAAAACAACACGAATGTTCACTGTTAAAATCATTGACTTTACATATAATGATACATGCACTCAAACACAACTTGATTAACCGGTAAATAGACACTATACACAACTCTCTCTCGCTCTCTCTCTCTGGAAAATACAAGGAAAATTATTCCAAAAAAAAATTCTTTGAAATGATACGTTTGTAAAATCAACATAGTGTAGATTGAAGTCCATTATAATATTGTCAATTCATCATAAAAGACAGATCATTTTATTCGAAAGATTAAATGAGACCAACATGGGATACATGTAGCTGTTTCCTCAATTTACATTACTGAACATTTCAGCCCACGGGCCTCTTGATTTAAAATTCTTAATCTTTTTGTTTTAAAAAATTTTTATTCATTGCTAACAAAAAAATACCACAGTAAACTATAGTTAACTATAGTTAATCAAAGTTTCAAAAATTTTACTATAGTAAATCAAAGTTTCAAAGTTTTCACTACAGCAAATCAAAGATCAAAGTTTCTTCTATAGTAAATCAAAGTTTCAAAGTTTTTACAATAGTTAATCAAAGTTTCAAAGTTTTTACTATAGTTAATCAAAGTTTCAAAGTTTTTACTATAGTTAATCAAAGTTTCAAAGTTTTTACTATAGTTAATCAAAGTTTCAAAGTTTTTACTATAGTTTATTAACTTATTAAAGTATATTAATAATTTATTGCTTATTGTTTATTTTTTTTTTTTTGGGGGGGGGGGGAGGGGGGGGGTTCGGAGTGGAGTTTGTTGTATATCTTAATTTAAATTTGCAAACTAGTTAATTCAAATGAAATATTTATATTCATAAATTAAGAAAATACATATTTAATGAAGTTGATGGAGCAAGTATTTTGGTTCTAAATGACTCAAATATCATTTTGTAGTATATTAGTTTCCTTTCTTCATAAAAAAAGTTACACTACATCAGCATTAAATTTTAATACATTTGAATAAATGTTGCAGATCTATTTGTCTACCGGCGCGAGAGACAACCTCACATTAAAATTCATTTTTTTATACTTTAATTTTTTAGGGGAGGGGTCTGGTTTATAAAAAGTTCTCAGAAATTTTTTTATGAATTTTGACCGTGAAATATCATAAATTGTCAAGAATGGGAATCCAAAACATAAAATAAATCAAAATTTCAAAGTTTTAGCTACGGTAGATCAAATTTCACAGTTTTTACTAAATTAATCAAAGTTTCAAAGTTTTCTCTATAGTTAATCAAAGTTTAAGACTTTTTACTATAGTGAAGCAAAGTTTCAAAGTTTTCACTATAGTAAGTCAAAGTATAAAAGTTTTTACTATAGTAAATCAAAGTTTCAATGTTTTACTGTAGTAAATCAAAGTTTCAAAGTTGTTATTATAGTAAATCAATTTCAAAAGTTTTTGCTATTAAAATCAAAGTTTTAAAGTTTTTACTTTGATACTATAGTTAACGATAGTAATGTAAATAATATACGATACTAATTTTGTTGTACTACATGCGCATTTCGACAAATTATGTCTCTTCAGTGATGCTCATGCCGAAACGTTGGAAATCCAAAATATTTTTTAAAAAAAACTTTGAAGAGCTGAAAAAGTGGGATGCCAAAGACTGGAGCCAAATATGTCGAAGGATCAGAGCTATGTCTGAGGGAGATAATCCTTAATTTTGAAATAAATTTCTAAATTTTACCACAGCAATTAAAAATATATATCCGTATTTTCAAGCCCGTACCGAAGTATTTAGATACTGGGGTGTAGAGACCCTCGGGGACTAACAGTCCACCAGCAGAGGCCTCGACCCTGGGGTCATAATGTAATAATATACGGTACCAATTTGGATGACCAGATGCAATTTCATACAACTATATTCAATCTTAATTCTTAATCTTTTTCAACCAAAAAGGGAAATACTGTGGAATCATCATTGTCGCCGGGGACCAATGTATGTAGATTTCGTGGGTCATCCTTACCCTCGAATTTATATCCCTACGAACGTTTATTTTGTAAACATAATAATTCAATGAACCTACCGTATAAACGAGTAACCCATGAAATTACGCCTACACGAACAACTAATTTTGCTTGCCCGCGAACATTGACCCCATCGAATTAAAATGATTCCAAACTACATGTATATCCCTAGTGAACTACTCTACAGTGGAGTCATTTTTCTAAGGGGGCCATTTTCCTTCATATAGGGTATGCAGATTTTAAAGATAATGCCACTTTTCCACAGCAAAAGGGGCATATTTCGACGTCGAATAATGCCCTCGGATTCTTTTTTGTTAAATGACCCACAGCCATTATTTTACGGGGGTCATTATTCGACTTTACACCGGCGTAAAATAAGGCTTGGGGTAAAAAGCTGAGTGGAGTTATGTGGACTATATTGGAATGGTGTCTGTATTGTAATAATTCAGAAAGTTGAAAAACAAATCGATTTCTCTTACATGCAGTCTCTCCCCTGCAATTTCATTTTGGATTCGTGTATAAAGAGTGGAACAAGAATCTAAAAGTTACGTGGAGTATATTGGAGTGGTCCATGTAGGCGAAAACCTGTCCACTTCTCTATAAAAGAATACTGTTTATAATTTTTAGCTGTGTGTCGTCTTGCACATTGTTATAAGACCTGAATAAGGCGTACAGGTGAGGAGGACACTCAGCTGAGATTATACGATAGCCAGAACGTAAGGCATGAATAAGGCAGTTGGTTATTGAGAGAAGTTGGCATACCACTGAGTGGGAGAATTGAGAGAAATTTATGGGAAATACCCAGTGACCAGAGTTACTGATTTTCAAATTGAGAAGAAACCTTTTATAATTGTATTAAACTTTTATATATCATATTTTGGTCAACAAAAACCTGAGTTATAACAGGTTAACGAGCCCTGAACGTAACGCCTCTGTGATATAAGACGTATCACCAAACATTAGCTCGGTCTGTATTGCACGGTACAAACTGAATACTGTCATATTTCATACAAACATACCTATTGCATACAAAAGTGTGAAATGCAGTACAGGATTGTACAGTGCTGAATTTAGGAGTTCTTTGAAAGTTTAAGAATTCATGATGTTTTGAAGTTGAATGGAAATCTTGGGTTATTTTAACTTAAGATTATTGCTTACAATATTCACCAGTAGGGAAAAAATAATTTGCAAAGACAAGGATTCTTATGAAATGATTTATAATTTATAAATTTGTTCTTCTGTCTGAAATAAGTGTTTGAGTTTAACATTTTATAAAATGGCGATAAAATCTGGAACCTTTTGGCCTGGAAGGCATGATATAGAAATCTAAATTCTAAAAGTTGCTTTTCTTTAAATAAAATTTCCTTCTTATAATTTTGAGGAAGCGCAAATGCATTTTTTACATAGAAATATCAAATCAATTAAGAACGAATTGGCATTTTAAACAAAATGAAGGGACAAACATCAACATTAACAGGCCAAGAACTAGTTCCGAAATTGAATGAGCTTAAAAAATCTGCAATTCATCCGAGTCATTCGATCAAAGAATTTTAAATTCAATTGAAGATTTTGTTAATTTCTTCAATATGCATTTTAAATAAAAAACATCTGGATAGCTTAATGGTAAAGCGACCGAAATACTTGTGTTTCGGTAGATCTTGGTTCGAATCCTAGTCCAGATTTCTTTTCTGTATATTTCTGTATCAAGTCAATCAGTGAAGGCATTTTGAGGACAAATGATTCTTTATTTTCCAATGTAAATTATAAAAAAGAAAAATGTCTAATACAACGCAACCATTGAAAAAACTTAATGTTTGCTCTACACTGCGTAAAAGCGTATGTAAAATGAGTCATATCTGCAATACATTTTCTTTAAAATTTTAAATGTTAAGATACAAAAGTGATTAGTTAATTTTTCAACAAATAAACAAAACACCAGAAAACAAAACACATTTGGTACAAATATAGTAATAGATGTTTATTGTTCAACCTCTTTATTTTAGATGCTGACAGACACTAGCTCACCAGACGATTAGGGACTTTGCATCTTAGATACAAGGATTTTAGTTGATAGAATTAGTTGACGATTATTCTAACTAAAAAATTAGCCTAAAATCTTATCAATATTTCCACATTTTTTATCCCCGCGTTTGACATGGGAAAAAGTATTAGAACATAAACACGCTAAAGAATGTCTATGTAGTATGATGTAAATTTCATGTAATGAACTTTTAAGTCTTCATGACGTCTTCATAACGTTTCTGGACTCACTCTGACTCTTGACTCATTGTCTGAACCTTGAACTGACATAAATGACCCAACATTTGATCATTCAATGTTTATTCATTTCTTTCTCCGTCAAACACGTGCCTTGAAAATTCCTCGTGCAGAGGAATTTTTAAGGTTAATTTGACCTTGACCTTAGGAACTAAAAAACAACCATCCTCTCTAAAAAGTGGTTCTAATAAATTGTAGATATCCTTTGCTTAGATCCCAGAAGGCGGTATTCTAGACCAAGCATGTCGTCTTGCGTTCTTACATCGCTTTATAGCTAACATTCTGGTATCAGCTACTAACGACAGAAAACAAAGATCAAAATCTTCTTCTGTGATTTTTGATTGGCTAATTCCCACTTGGTACAAAAACTGACGTCACTCCTTCTCTGTCGTTAGTGCACGTCGTACTATACTTGTTACCAGGGGGAAAACTGCATCTAAAATATGAACGATTTTAATTTCAATGGATTTATGAACGTCCTAGACAATAGAAATATTTTTAACAACACAACTAAATACCATAAAGTATACTTGTGTACAACTTGCCTGCAACATAGATTGAATTGATTCTTGGTGTTGAAAATCGTTGCATTGTTACCATTCAATCTCGAATAAACAAGAAAGATCAGCAGCAAAACAAACGTAACAGCGATCGCTACACCTCCAAACATTAGAAGAGACGATTCTATAAAAGTTAATGAAAAAGTTAAAAATGTTCTTATGATTTAACGCATAATTCACATATTCAAGACAAATTAGATTTATACTACCTATACAAATATGTTCGTCTTCTTCCTTTCTTGGTAAAATGTTAGAAGCATTGGTAACACCTTAAATTTAGAACAAATTATTTTGAAATAAATTTAATTCTATAAAGATTCATTTTAATATTTTTAAAAAAAGTATTTTACATACCTCTTTGTCTTTGATACAGTTTACACTGAATTTGGCATTGGTCGGGTGGATTTCTACCGAGACATAAATCTCTCGAGCAATATCCACAGGTTTCATCCTCTGTACAAAATTGCAAAATTCCTTTGCATTCTACAAATCCACATTGGAAAGTGTAACTAATGCCGCTAAAATCAATAGTAGAGATGGATGTATCTGTTTTCTTTGTCACAACCACTGATACACATACAAGAAAATTTGCTGTTGAAAAATGTCCCGCCATTTTCTTGTGGCTTTTGCACAGTCTTCTATAAATAGTAAGCGGACTTCCCGGTTTATTACATATGCACACTTAACTTTTTTTTTCCTTTTTGCCCGTTCTTGACTTTAAATAAAGTTTTGTCACTTTATAGTAGAAGTAGTCTTGATTTTATGCTTCTAATTGAAAAGTATACTACAGCTTAATGCTTACTTCTAGAATATATATATTTATGTATATATCAATGAAATTTCTCAAATCTAAAATTAGCTGATCACCCCATATTTACTGGCTAGTTGCCATACCTTTAACAGTGTTTAATCAATATATTACGCAACTTGTGCAGAATAGAGACACCGTAGTTTGAATCGGTAATGTTCAATTGAAGGGACGATTAAGTAAAAATTTAATATTGTGACTATGAAAATGTAAAAAAAAAAAAATTATAAGGGCCACACTAGTGTATTATCTTGATTTCTAATTACAATTTATTAATTTAAAAGGATGATGTGCCATACGGCCCGCGGTAAATTGACAAAAAATTAAGTATCTAAATTTTACTCTAATTTTTGCATGCACTTAATCACTGATATGTGTACCCTCATGGGATACTACTTTGACGGAAAATAGAAACATTATTTGGAAGATATATGTCTTTATTTTGAGTAGGGATACTATGTTTACATCCAATTCCCATTGAATTTATGCCCCGCCCCATTCTTTGAAGCCCTTAAAATGTACGAGCGCAAGTAGGTACATTTTTCTCCTTTGGCTGGTCACTTTATTTTATTGAAATCTACCTATATGTGAAAGGAGAAAAATGTACCTAACTGCGCTCACATGTTGTGTTTTAAAAATTGTGAAATCTAGGTGGCCTGTCCCATTATAAACAGATCCACGAAACAATTTTTTCTGACGTAAGAATAAATTCATATATGCTAACTGGGGCAACGGCGTGACTTTCTAACCGATCAATCAGCTAAATGAGTTGCATTACGAGTGAGTACCACGATTTTATGCTTGAAAAAAAAAACGGCATTTTTTTACTTGCTTTCCGATTGACACTTTTTATGCATTTCAGTCACAGATTAGACACGAATCAGCAATTTCCCTTCTCATAATTACAAAGAATTGATTTTTAAACTTACATTGTATAATTTCATAGTTTTGTAAGGCGGCATGTATATTCCCGAGTATCAGTGGATACTAGTTTCATGTGCATTTCTTGGCCCAAAACGATAAACACTGAGGTTCCATGTATATTATCATGTATTTAAAAAGCCTTTGCTGACCATTAAAAGTTTTTAAAAGTAGTAGAGATATTGTGTAAATTGACCTAAACCACGTGTCTGTGATAAAATGTAAACAGTAGTAAACCAGCATGTTTGTTGTTCAGTTATCGGACTGGACAATTGTTCTCTGTAAGCGACTATGGGCGAAATAATAACAATAGCCATATATATTTCTCGGACTTGCGTATCCCTCCATTGTACATAAACACGCCTTTTCTCTATTCATAATCAGATCGAGACCACTAGATTTTCTGACGTCAGCATAAATGCATGTAAATTAGCTATCTATTTACTTTACCGATTGTTGAATGAGTCGCAGTGCATTATGGGCTACTACAAGTATCAATACAAACTCAGTTGTGTTGAAAAATGAAGGGCAACTTGAATTGTTCCTTGGGAACTCATTTTCAATTCTTTTTTTGATATTCATGAAAGAAATATTGAAAATGATGTATAATCTTTAATTTCTATGCTCACATTCATAAAATTTGCTTTGTGAAGCCTTATATCAACTTGTACTACATCGGAGTAAACCATTGTTCAAAGAGACGTAGGTGCTATTGTGTAGATAAAGCACTGAGTGTGTTTTTTCACGTGATATACATGAACATAGTTTTAGACAGCAGTATAAAGTGCGCAATTATTATTTTACTCCTCAATATCATCAAAATGTTTTTATGTACACGCAAACGTCAAAGCGTTCGTCCTACGGTATTTGAGGCAACTGTTAATCATCTAAAACAACTCAAATATCAAATGTGAGCATGGAACAGTGTCTTTGGAATAAAATCTTTCAATTTCAGCCTTATAAAGTAAAAAAGAAGCAGCACGGTTTTTTCGGTGACCAAGTAAATATTATGCAGTAAACCGACGAAAACCACATGTCGCTATTGAATCATAAACACGTAGTAGACCGTCATGCTTTGCGACTCATTCAAATGATTGGAGAATGGGTTTGACGAAAACGTTGAAAAGTACCGACCTGCGAAAGGTGGTATATTTTTGACAATATGGAATCCTGATTGGGCCATTCACTATCGCACTGGAGCATTGACTAAAGGGTGGAAGGCGCGATAATGTGATAGTGCGATGAAAATGATGGCGCGAACCTCGATGGTGCAGTGATGTGATAGTGAACTACATATGGCTCTATCTGGATTCCATAAGGACATGCGAATATTTTTTTTTCTGATGTTGGAAAACATGATGTCATTCGCACAAAAGATTGTCCTTTTATTCGTCTCTCTGTACAAAATATATACAAGGAATTCATTTGTAGTTTTATGGTGAATATCATGATGCGGTTAATCGATTTATTCAATGTAGTTTTTTGTCCCTTGCAAGATTATTTTCACGTGTACATACTAGAGGGCAATGGGCCACAAGTCTCAAATGAGTCACTTTGGCCCTGCTGTCCTGCTGTTCTGCATCAGTTTTTTTTCCAAATTAATATACACGTATTCCCATGTAAAATTTCGATCGTTTTTTGTGGCCCCATCCTATATACTTGGGCCGTAATTTGATCAAAAATGAATAAACACTACCAGAGGATGCTTCCACTTTAATATGATTCATCATAGATTTGTTGTTCTTTAGTAGGGGAGTTTTAAAGATTTTTTCCCTCCGTAATCCCTATCGTGGCCCCACCCTACCACCGGGGACCATGATCTGAATAATTAACAATCTACATTACATTAAGAAGCTTCCAATAGTTTCAGCTTTACTGGTCTAGCCATATATTTTAATTTAATAATTTTAATGTAAATTTTGATTCCCAATTGTGGCTCCACTCTACCACCGGGGACTATGATCTGAACAATTAACAATCTACACTACCTTAGAAAGTTTTCACATAACGCAGTACAGTTAAGGTGCCAAATGGAAATATCGGCGAATTTTTTAGATAGAAAATACATTCTTTACAAGGATGGACGTTTCATTTTAGGACTTAACTATTATCGGACAGATGCAATGTGGTTGAAAACTACATGTTGAGGACGATTAGATTTCTTATTCAGACTTGTCACGTGATGTGGCAGTCACGTGATTTGAGCAAATTGAGGTCGTCTATAAATTCTAATATTGCAAGGGCATAACCAAGTTAAAAATCTAAGTTTAACATATAATTATTTTCAACACTCTTTGTAGTCTGTGAAAAGTGCTGCGAACCTATATAGATTCTACTATCTAATTGCTAAAAATACATTTGTTAGACCATATGTTGAATATTTTGCTGGTCAATTACCTTAAATATAGATATAATTAATTCATTTGCAAGATTTCAACAGGTTCGCAGCACTTTTCAAATATCTTCATACTTCTTGAGTTTATGTGCAAAAGCTCGTCATAATTCATTGAGGGTATGCCCTTGCAATATATCGATTTATTACTACCCCTCTATTACCCTTCAATGAATCTGCATACAAATATACGACAGTATCGCTTGTCTAGGGAATGTACGGGAAGTATATGAATAAAATCATAAAATAGACATCGCATCCAAGTTAATGGCCTCTTATATATCTACAATTCATATCTTATTTAATTACAAAATACATTAATATAACTTGATCCGCCTCTCACTGCATACAAACTGCGTCAAATTTTACGATATGACGTCACATTGACAAGTGCATTGCGATCAGTGAATTATTGATATATTGCTGTGTGGGATTTAACCAACGACAAAAATGCATGCACTAGTTAGTATTGATGTAGTTTAAAGCTATTCAACAGTTTAAAATAGCAAATCATTTCATTTTGTGGTAATTTGAAGAACTTGTATTTTTGTGTGATGTCATAGTAAGCATTTCCCGTATAATTTAGGCCCCGCCTCCTTACTGCAGCCTTAACTGTGCTGCGAAGTTTCATCTTTTCTGGTCCAGTGGTTCTTGAGAAGAAGATGCTTAAAAACTTTACCTATATATTTCAATGTAAAGCTTTGATTCCCTGTTGTGGCACCACCCTACCCTCAGTGGACATGATGTGAACAATTTAAGAGCCATTCTCTGTAATGACTTTAACTTTTATATAGGAGCTGTGGCACGCATAGTCTCAGAATTTCTCCAAACTCTCTATGATAAAAGTCTTTGATACTGTAAACTCAAATCAGGCAAAAACTGGTTGCTACGTGTCATGATTACCATAGCAACATGTCCTAAAGTTTGAAAAATGGCATTTTTCAACATGTTCAGAGTCCCACAGTTAACGTTTGCAGCAAAGCAAAAAGCAAAGTGGGAATGACTGTTTCTGAAAATTGAAGGCCTGATGTCTTAAATGCATGATAAACATGTTTGGTAAATCAACTATTACATACGTTACTATGGAAACAAAGTATTCAAAATTAATAATTTGTTCATTTAATTTTATAAAGTCATACACTTAAGAATAAAAACAATTATAGGTTGAAATGCAAGAAATAATAGACAAGAGATCCTTGTAACGTATACCAAGGACGAAATATGATATTTCTTATAAGTTGGCAATGGTTGCCATGGTTTTAATACCACAAAGGGATTTTAAATTTACTCTCTTAGTATTTTAATCTGATCCTATCTTTTTACAAAGCATATTTCTATATAACTGATGATCAATTTTTAAAGGCATTGGTGTGACCCTAATTTTCACATTTCAAAAAATTCAAATTCGGTTCTTTAAATAGAGCGTTGCTATGGAAATAAGCCGAAAAAATATGCATAAAAATCTGAAAAATATTCTGTTTCCTTGGATACGTACCCTTGTATGTAGATTCCCAAAACTTTTATGATTGATATATATG